GGGGTCCGAAAACGGTCTTCCTGTCTTTTTCTTGCCGCGCAAATGCATGGATCTGTTGTCTAAATTCGCAAATGGCTGCTGTGCAAAGTTTCAGGTCAGTTCAATCTGCGGCGGCGCATAGGAAAGCGCGGACGTGAGGGGGCGCGTCTCTCTGACGCTCATACGAATTTGGAATTAAAAAATCGCAAGTTAATTTGGCGTTAATTTGGTGACTTAGGGCACCTGGTCTATACTCATTTATTTACACTTTTTGGATACACGAATTTATTACTCATAAAATACTCACTAAATTTCCGGTGGACTAGCTACACGTACACGTACGGTAGCTAGCTAGCTACTTTCGTACTAGCTAGCTAGTACACGTGTACGGAAGTACTTTCGTACTTTCCGTAATAACAGTCAGCAAAAAACCTTCGTACACGTGTACACGTACGGAAGTACTTTCCATATCTTGATACGAAAGTACGAAAGTACGAAAGTACAACTACTTTCGTACGAAAGAAATACGAAGGTACTGTAAATACCTTGGTAATAAGTACGAAAGTACTTTATTTCGTACCTTCGTACGAAAGTACTAGCTAGTGTACGTGACAGTTTACGTGACTACGTGTACTTCCGGAAGTCGGAAGTACCCGGCGCCGATCCAAGCCAAGGAGTAACCAAGCGAACGGTCACACGCTTGTGTTTATTCCTTTCATATTCGACCCTCGATGTTATGAATATTCTTTTATGACCAGAAGAATTCTGAGATGACTCACTGGCACCAAGCATACGACTTCTGCTATCTACAATTCTACTACTACTGTCGCTGCACCCAAATTTCCACGTGGCTGCCCCCTGCAGAGGGTTTCGCGCCTCTCACTTACTCTGATATGTGTTTGCGCTTCTCGACGACATGTGCGGCCATGGATTCATGCCATATGCATAATAGAGTTCGGTTCTCTTCGTCGTGCGGAAAGTACTGGGTACAGCGGCGTAGGATACTTTCTCTGTATGACTTTGGCGTTAACCTGGATCCTGAGGCACCAGAAATTATTGCGAATCATCAGGCAAGTCGCTGCTTGCACAGCCTACACCGCCAATCATCGCATCGGTTGTCACCTGCTTCTGACGGTTCGGGCATGGCAGATAGTCAGTCTCGGTCGAAGAGCTCGACTGAATTTGTTGTCCTAGACTTGTTTTGTGGTGCTGGCGGGAATACAATCGCCTTTGCTCGGTGTGCAGGTGCACGTGTATTAGCTTGTGACATCAACGAAACGCGCCTCGATATGGCTGACAAAGTTTCGTTAATTTATGGGGTTCAACACTCCATAAACTTTGTGTGCAACGATGCGAACGCTTTTCTGAATTGCCTACGACTGTTTTCGCGCGAAGGTGCAGGGTGTTATGACGATGTAGAAAACGTAGAAAAAGTTGACATGATTTTTCTTTCTCCTCCTTGGGGAGGTCCTGGATACAGTATCGTAGACAGTTTCGACATTCGGAATATCCATGCCTCTGGCATCGACGTGATCGCGCTCATAAAGTTGTCGTTTTGTCTGACAACCAACATTGCGTTATATCTTCCAAAGAATACAGATCTTCTTCCTTTTTATTGTTCTCGTGCACTTTTTGTAAATCAGGCCCCTTGTTCGTTTGAAGTTGAGAAAAATTATTTGAATGGCAAGCTTAAAGCCATTACACTGTACTTCGGTGAACTAAATATGTTAACTTCTTAGTGCGTATCGCCTGCGCAACAAGTTTCACAAACTTTCTTGTTTAAACTTACGTCAACCCAACCAAGAAGTTCGTGTAGAAGGGATGCGAACGACAATGGCTTTTAAGGGTACAGTGTCGTGACTTCTGTGATGAAATGTTTATTTGTTTTCCATCCTACGTATAGTATCAAAGGAACGAGGAAATGCGTATCCGTTCTAGTCGCTTGTACACCAACAGAGGGCTCTTGATTTTTTGGTGAAAAAATAGTTCTTCATTCCACAAAAGATGTATGTCATTTAAGTCTACAACAGAGTTTAGTCATATAAATCCTCGTCATCGTTCGTATTCACACCGTGAGCAAAATCAGTTGGGTTACCAGGCAGAATGTGGTTGGTTCCGTCATCGACACTACCGCCTGTAACGTTTGTGCGGGGCCCGCTTTCGGGAAAACGGAAATCATTACCAAATCCACGAGACTGCTGCAGTGTCTGTGAAAAAGCCTGGTACTTCCGAATATCTGCATCACTCACAGAACGACGGGCATACTTCATTGCTTCTTCGAAATGTGCCTTAGTTATTTCCGGTACAGGATCAAACATGTCTTCGTCGTGCATCCCATCCGGATCAGCAACTGCGAAACGCTCACGTTCGATGTCGCGCTCAATGCTTTCACGAATCGCAAATTTACATGCACGCTGGCAAATCTCAGTAATATCAGCCCCAGAAAAGCCATTCGTGAAACTAGCAAGCGTGTCGACATCGACATCACGAGCGAGTGGAGACTTCCTCAGATTTGCCTTAAAAATAGAAAGACGCGATTTTTCATCGGGAAGAGGAATGTAGATTAGCTGATCTAATCGACCGGGGCGCATGAGAGCCGAATCGATGATATCTGGGCGATTTGTTGCACCAATAATGAAAACAGTTTTTTTCGAACCCATTCCATCCATTTCAGTAAGTATCTGGTTAAGTACACGATCAGCAGCACCACCTGCGTCTCCTGAGCTCGATCCACGCTGATTGGCGATCGAATCAAGCTCATCAAAGAATAATACACATGGAGCAGATTGTCGAGCTTTATCGAAAATCTCACGTACGTTTGCCTCCGATTCGCCAAACCACATGGTAAGAAGCTCTGGACCTTTCACAGATATAAAGTTTGCTTGGCACTCATTTGCGATCGCTTTTGCAAGAAGGGTCTTACCGCAACCTGGAGGACCATAGAAGAGAACACCTTTCGAAGGTGCCATTCCAAATTTCTCAAATTTCTCCGGGTGTTCAACAGGGTATTGAACTGTTTCTTGAAGCTCTTGCTTTACTGATTCAAGACCACCGATGTCTTCCCAGGAAACATTAGGAACTTCGACAACAGTCTCGCGGAGTGCAGAAGGGTTTGATACTGAAAGTGCCGTGATGAAATGTTCGTTTGTAACGGCCATTGAATCCAAAATTTCGGCATCAATGGTATCATCTTCGAGATCGATGACATCCATTTTTTCACGAATGCACTGCAGTGCAGCTTCAGTGCATAAAGCAGCAAGGTCTGCACCCACGTAACCATGAGTCTCTTTCGAAACTTTCTCCAGGTCGACCTCATCGTCGAGTTTCATGTTTTTCGTGTGAATACGAAGAACTTCGAGACGACCGGTTTCATCTGGAACACCGATGTCTATCTCACGATCAAACCGTCCAAAACGTCGAAGTGCAGCGTCGACCGAATTTCGTCTGTTCGTTGCACCCATCACTATGACATGTGCTCGCGATTTCATGCCGTCCATCAAGGTTAGAAGTTGAGAAACAATCCGACGCTCGACTTCACCTTGAGTTTTTTCACGTTTGGGTGCAATTGAGTCTATTTCATCAATGAAAATAATAGCTGGGGCGTTCTTCTCTGCCTCCTCGAAAGCTTTACGAAGGTTTGATTCAGATTCGCCCGCAAGTTTGGACATAATTTCAGGCCCATTTATGAGAAAGAAGAAAGCACCAGTCTCATTTGCTACTGCACGGGCGATGAGAGTCTTACCTGATCCAGGAGGGCCATAGAGCAGAATCCCTTTGGGAGGCTTCACGCCGATTGTTTTAAAGAGCAACGGGTGACGCAGGGGGAGCTCAACAAGTTCGCGAATTTGTGCCATTTGCTTTCTGACCCCGCCTACATCGTCATAACCGACTTCGTCAAGCCTTTCTTCGTCCTCACGATTGATCGCTTCTCCCTCACAAAATATTTCGGTGTCAGGTGCTACAATGCAGTATTCTGCAGGGTCCGTCTCAACAACCTTGAATTCAACACCTCGCATGCCACCTCGTGCAAGAAAAGTATCACCCTTGCGGACTGGCCGATACGCTTCAAGAAAGTAAGGTTTCAAATATACGTCGAAAAGATTCCCGCTCACACCCTCGATCGTGTCACTGAAGGGAAGTACGTGAATGCGTTGGCCATATTTGACGTCTGTGCACTGTTTCAGAAGAGGAGTTCAGTGTTCAGAAATATAAATATATATATATCCACGAAAAACCATACCTGGTGTACGGATACCACGTCACCGAGACGAACACGAAGGTTCTTACGAACAACTTTGTTCATCCGAATCTTGCCTTCCTCGCAGAATTCGTCAGCGAGAACGATACAGACGGTATCTTTGCGCTTCTTGCCCTTAATCAAAACCGTGTCTCCGCGAAAAAGCTGAAGTTCATCCATCTTCTGAAGATTAAGTGCAACAACGCTGTTATCATCGTTCACAGCTTCATCTGCAAGCACATGAATCGAAACAGAGAATGCACGTGAGATTTTAGGAAGCACGGCGTCGCTCACACGGCTGTGTTCGCAGCTGGAAACCACGGAAAGAACTTTTGTAGTTAGGGGGGTCACCTCACCTACGACGAGACGATTGGGTGATTTCTTGCGCTCAAGTATTGCCGTGGACAAGTTTTTCTTGCCAGCGTTGGTGGATGTCTCCGGGTTGGAATCCGCGGCCATCGAAAGTATAGCCGACTATGACTATGATCAAAGGGTAGGCGATTACTTATGTCACGGACGGACGTGAGCGTGCTGGGGGACTGTTGAGGGCTATCAGAATAACGCGGTGTACGTTGTACAGTAGGGCTACACGACTGCTACACGAGTACAGCTGTACACGTACTGTACGTACCTTCGTACGTGATAAATTGGAAGTGCATTGATATGATATGATATGATATCATATCCATAAATAAAATATTCAGGCAGGGCTATTATCGTACAGTAGGGCTACAACGTACGAAGGTACTTTCGTACAACGTACGTGTACAGCTGTACACGTACACATAAAAGAAATCATACTAAGTTGAATCAACTTATCATAAGTTGTTGTGGACAACTTAGTGAGTTCATAAAAGTTGTTTAATAGTAGTTTTATAGTGTATGTACAATAATATTTTATCATAGTGCACATATGTTGTACAGTACGGACGAAGTGCTTCCGGAAGTACTTCCGTACTTCCGTACATATCGATAAGATACCGTACATATCTATCTTCGGAGGCAGGGCTACAACTACGAAGGTATTATACGAACGTGTGAGGATTTGAAATTTACACAAAAACTAAGCTCTAATAAAACCCATCCGGACAAAACGAAGGTACGAAAGTACGAAAGTACGAACGAAGATAGAATAGTCCATCTAGCTAGCTACGAAGGTAGTAGCTAGCTAACTACCTTCGTATCGATCTAGCTAGCTAGGGCTACATACAACTACTACTTGTACTGCATGTACATAAAATATGTACTGCACGGACGGAAGTACGGAAGTATACTTTCGAAAGTATTATTTCCGCGGATCTATCTACGTGTATACTTCCATACTGTAGAATACTTCCGTACAACGATACTACTTTCGAGAAAGTACTTTCGTACGAAAGTACAACGTTTATTGTACACGTACAACGCGTTGCATACGAGTACAAGGTCCTTTAGAGCCTATCTCGGCCAGACTCTTGCGTGAGAAGATGCGACTTTTTGGTCTTAGGCCTGTTTTGAGTAGAGGTTCTTGCCTTGAGGGTTTTGTTCATTGCATCTCAAAGAGAAGTCTCAACAACTTCGACGCTTGCCGTTTCGGACACACAAGCTTGGGAATAGTTTCAGAAATATGCGCAAAGCCTTGGACCGGAGGTGCTCGGCATCTCGATGGGCGTCAACACGCGATACGCTGGATGCGAGAGATCGCCATAAGTGCCTCACGGAACCCTCGTCCACCTGGTCTTGCTGCTATTGTCGTCGGCAATAGGCCAGATTCCCTTCTTTACGTCAGGAGGAAAGGCGAGGCCTGCAAAAAAACTGGAATACACTTTTACCTGATACATCTTCCTGGGGACATTAGACAAGGTAAGGTGCGCCAGATCCTTCGCCGCTTGAATTCGGACAAGAACATTGATGGAATTCTTGTGCAGCTGCCTATGCCGCCACAAATAACTGAAAACAAACTCCTCGAATGTATTAGCCCAGAAAAAGATGTTGACGGACTGCACCCAAAAAACGTAGGCCGACTTTCTGCACGCGGCACCTGGCGGCCTGTATTTATGCCGTGTGCCCCCCTTGGTTGTATGGAACTGTTGTGGCGAGAAAAAATTAATGTGAAGAAAAAGGCAGTGACAGTTATCGGTGATAGTAATATTGTTGGCATGCCGTTATCCTGGCTGCTGCGGGATGCAGGGGCGTCCTCTGTCACTATCCTGCATTCAAGGGCAATTTGGTTTCTCGATAAATTCTCTACAGCAGGCTCTGATGACAGTCAGTTGTGCGAAGATAAGCCATTACAAGCGCAGATCTTACATTCCTTGTGTGAGGCTGATGTAGTAATAGCTGCTGTTGGAAGTGTAGGTCTTGTCAAGCGTGAATGGATAAAGGAGGGGGCAACAGTAGTAGACATAGGAATCAATGCAGTGCCTGACTGTCACGAAAGTGTAATATTTACTGGGATTTCGCCCCAAAAGGACTGTGTCAATGTTTGTAGCTCGGTCACTGCTATGCAACGGGATGCTCAGCAGAGTTTTAGGAGTGTCCCACAGCCGTTGAGGAACTTCAAGATTCTTGGTGACGTTGCAGCTGAAGAGGTATCACACGTTGCAGGTGCAATGACCTCGGTACCTGGAGGGGCAGGTCCGATGACAATTGCAGCTTTACTGAGCAACACTTGTCTAAGTGCTTCACGTAAACATCGATTATGAAATAAACCTTAAGAAAACTGTACGTGTACTCTGATCTATCTCGACTATGATATAATATACTTTGAAGAGCACTGTGTCACGAGTTGTACGTGTAGTATTTGATATATTTTTTTATGAATGCGGTTGTCAAGAAGTCCAATGTCAAGAATGCGCAGGCGTAACATCCACCTTATTTGCTAAACCAAGACACTAAGCTAGGCAAGAAGATGACACAGTGACAATATCTTACAGCTTTTGTACACCCCACCAGAATTCCGTCTCCCATACCATCATTTCCACGGGTAGACTAGTCTACTGTATCTCTACTTCGTGTTCCATTTCCTCCAAATATACAACGAAGCCTGTGGTACTCTCTACTCAGAAAATTATGCCGTTAGAGCTAAGTCAAATGAATTTTTTCGGCATTCTTGTTGTGCCCCGCGTGTGACCTACATTCAGTCACTCCATCAATTTTAGTGCAGCCTCTAGCTACAACTACGCAAGAGGGACTCATCAGCTAAGCTGTTTGCGCAAGTGTTCAACCTGTGCTTCTGTTACTGACAGTTTACCCTTCAAGAGCTCAACAAGCCGTTCCAAACCCTCTGCATGACTGATGAGAGTTTCGACGTCCTCGACATTTTGGTCACTAAGCATAACACTCATACCATCACCTCCACTCGGAAGGCTGTATTCAGAGTTATGTGAGGAATACTTTTCTCTGATTCTCGTGTTCTTCCCTGAATCATACTCCATGGTTGCGATCTTTGCACGCAGTTGTAAATTTTGCTGACGCATTTCTTGCACGATGCGATTTTGAACTTGGATTTGTTGCTCTTGCGCGTGGGCCCTGCGCTCTACAGCATGATGCATCACCGCAGGCACAACATTTCCTGCAAAGCTGCCCTGAAAGGTTGCCTGGCCTGGCAGACCTGTTCCAGAGCCTTCGGTCACTCTTGAATCTATCTTACGACGAATTGCCAGCTGGAGTGCACTGATAAGTTTATCGTCGTTCGAGCACTTCTCAGTGAGCACATTCACCTTCTCACGGACAACTCTCAACTCCTTCTCAACAAGGTTTTTGCGCAAAGCAGTCTGCTTCAACTTCTTTTCAAGATACTCGTTGTCCGATCGGACATCCGCTAATGCCTCCGCTCGAATATGTGTCTGCTTCATCTCGATTTCAGGCACCGTGACTTGACCTCTGCCGAAACTTTGTAGATCCTCTATCCTCCCAAGCTTCTGCTTTAGTAAGGTATTCTCGTTCCTAAGCTTTTGGATTTGCTGTGCGCGTCCTCTCCAACCTCCTGGCCCTTGCTTTATGGAAGCCTCCTCGAGGCGATTTAAATCTTCAGCAGCATCACCTACCTCGCGCTTGATGATAAGACGCAATCTGTCATTTTCCGCCTTAACAGTAGTATAGCGACCGCTGCTGCGCTCTGCCCAAGCTGCCACGTGTGTGGCCTTTTCCTTCCACACTGCCAGTTCCTTCCTGGCCAACTCTGCTGTCTCTGAAGCCTCCGCTACAACTTCACGATACGCAGTTTCGACAGGGGATTCAGTACGATCTATATCAGACGTGTGCGTTTTTAGTTTTGTTTGCAACTTTTTGAGTTCAGTCTGTAAGCGTTCCTTCTCTGCCTTTTCGCGCTCAACTGCCAACTTAAGTTCGCGATTTTTTTTGGCAACTTCGATTATTTTTGACTTTCGGACACCTGCTGTGAGAACGTCGCCTTTTGTTTCCAGAAGTGCGGTAATATGCGCTACTTCTCGCTCTCTCAGATCGAGTATTTTTGTGAGCTCTTGATTGCGCCGAGTAAGTTCCTGAACCTGAAAGCGGCGAGAGATGTGTTGTTCAGCCGAAAGACAAGTCAATACTCTCTGCACTCACCTGTTTAAAGTCAACCCAAGTAAAGTTGCTTCGCTGTTCGGATGCTGGCACGTCACTTTTAAGTTCAGGCATGATGCTTATGCGGTCCGTAGGGCTAACAATGCGCAAGTGAGTTCTGCTCGCGAATGCGGGTCAGAGTAAAGTTTTGATCGTCCAGACTCGCTCATATGGGCTGTACGAGGTACGACTATCTTCGAAGGTGACGAAAGTTGTGTATCGGATAAATACAGTATTGTACACTATCTTGCTGGCACGTACTGTACACGTACACAACTGTACGTGTAACGCGGTGTACAGTACACGTAGTGCACGTGTATTGCCCGAGATAAGGAAGTACGGAAATATCTACAGGTAAAATGGGCTACAACGTTACTTCCGGAAGTTAAATATGATACTTTCGAAAGTATTTCCGGAAGTACAACGTTGTACGTACAACTGTTACGTCCAGCGCGTTGTTGGTGAGACCTACAATACGTGTACAACGTTGTACTGTACACGTACGTACCTTCGTATGTACTGTACCTGTATCAGCATATCAGACGGACTACGCAGACCAGAAGTCACCCGCGTTAAGCTTTTGATCGGCTCTTGCGATGAAAAATACCCTTTCAGTATTTTTTGATCGGAAAACCTCCCCGATCGATGGGACATAAAACGTTGTACATACGGAAGTACAACGTTGTACGATAGTACGAAAGTACCTTCGAAGGTACGAAAGTACCTTCGAAGATAGAATACTTTCGAAAGTATTCTATCTTCGTATTCCGTAAAACAACTTACTGTACTACTGTACCTTCGTACGTACTTACTTTCGAAAGTACGAAAGTACGAAAGTACGAAAGTACAACATTATTGTGTACACGTGCGTGTACGAAGGTAGTACGAAAGTACTTTCGTACTTTCGTAATAATATTAATATTTATTTAATTTGATAACATGAACTTACCTACTTCGAAAATACTTCCGGAAGTACGTTGTACAACTACTGTACAACTGTAGGGCCCTACAAGTACGTACTGTACCTTCCTCCTTTTCAGAAAAAAGAGGGAAAAACGCGAAAAAATGCCAGTTTTAAGCGCCTTTCAACTTTCTCGCGCTCATCGCTGCGCGAATCTCTTCTTGATCGTCCCTCGCGTCTAGTTCCCTTTGAATCCGCGATGAATATTCAAATCGACGCGCCTGCACGGCGTCAGGGCGCGCCAGGAAGTACGAGTAGTTTTTTCCTCGTATGGCAAGTAGTCTGTCGTCGCCGCTCTCTCTTTTGGCCGTTAACCGCGAAAGAAACGACAACGAAGGGCACGACGCGGTCTCCCCCGACCCCGGGAATAGTCCCGGCATGCCGGGCGGGTCTCCCATGCAACTTGGCGCTATAACCATCTTGCAATCTCCACGCCAATCTCGCGAGTCGGCACCCCCTTCACGCGAGTACGGTGACTCCGATGGAGATTTGTTCACTCCGCCCCAAGGCGTTCGCGCAAGGCGCCGGCGACGGTCCGAGGTGTGAAGAGACACGCCGACGCGGAGCTCGTCACGCACGCGACCGTCGGAGTAAGTCTCGGCTTCTCCGGAGGTCCCTCCGCTCCCGCGTTCTTCGTGCGGGCGTCGGGGACGAAAGTTTCCGAGAGTGACAAACTTCGATTCATCCGTGCGGTGGAAGCGAATAAGGCCAAGGGAATAAGCGTCGCCGCGACGACCGCGAGGTGGGGATTCTCTAAGAACGCGTACGCTAAGTACAAAAAACAGGACAAGCTAGGCGAGACGAAGCCCAAGGTCATCCCGGGCCGCCCGCAAAAGGCGGACGAGGAAATCAAAGCGAAGCTTTATGAAGTCAATCGAGCGTTTCAAGGTGGCAAAACTATCGAAGGACTAAGCAAGGAGCTCCTCCGCATCTTCGGCGAATACCTCAGTCCCAGCACCATCTGCCGGATGATGAGGAGGGGTGGCTGGCGTAAGCGAAAGAAACGTTCGTCGCCGTTCCTCACCGAGAAGGCGATGACGGCGCGCGCGGCATTCGCCGCGGAGCACATGCATGAACGCACCGACCGCTTACTGTAAATAGTCCCTAAACCGCGGTACGATGAAAAAAACCCTACTGTGAAGACCCGAACTCAAGGTACCTACCCCGGGACCTAAACCCTAAACCGAAAAAACGATATTTTTCGATAAATCGTGTACGTGTATTTCCCGGGGAACCGAACCCCGGGATTGCACACGTACAGTATTATCCGTTGTAAACATGAGTTGTTTATTCGGCAGTAGTAGTATACTAGTGCGATGCGATCATAGTATGATACAAGGTGGCCTGTGGGTGCGCTTCGCTGATGTTTTTTGGCAGATGGTGGAGTCGCCGGGGTGCGCGCGGAGCGCGCCACTGGAGCGCCGAAGGCGCGACGGGCGGAGCGCGCGTCAGCGCAGGCGGAGCACGCTGGCACACGGTGGAGTCACAGGCGAAGCGCGGATAATTTTACGGTCTCCCATCCATATGTCCAGTTGTACACGTACGTGTACACGTGTACACGTAGCCAAAATTGTGAGCGTAGCCACAGGCACTCCCTGTACAGTACTAAAATCCGAAAAAAAAGTCAACGGGCATGGACTTTTTTTTTGCTGCGCTCTCAGAGCTTCTCAGAACTTTTGGCCAATCAGAGGCGAGATAGGGGTGAAGCCTCACTCCGATCAACTGATCGGCGTGGGATGAGTTTGGCAGTTTCTCCGGTGAAACTGATCGATTGAGTTTAGAGTGAGCCCCGTTTACCGTGCAGCGAAGCGCACCCAGGCCACCATACTTCCGGAAGTACTTTCGAAAGTACTTTCGTACTTTCGTACGAAAGTACAACGTAAGCTACATCGACTACGTGTACTCATCGACTATTACCTTCGAAGATACCTTCGTACGAAAGTACCTTCGTAGAATACTTTCGTACTTTCGTACAACGTTGTAGTTGTACGTGTACACGTACACCGCGCGTTGTACACGTACAATAAACAACTTTTACTTGAACAGGATTCATACTTCAGTTGATAAACAACCCTCGCTCGTCGCTACAACGTTGTACGAAAGTACCTTCGAAGGTACGAAAGTACGAAAGTACATTTTACTCACGTTCGAACGAACGCAACGTCTACTTACTTTATAGTCTTCTCTCTTGCGACTCCCTACCTATTTATCACGAGCTCTATGATGAGAAATCGTGTTATTTGGAGCGCTTGCACAGTTTTTTTAAGCCCTGCTTCATTTGCGACGTACTCTGCTGCAGCGGACAGCACTTATTTTCTAGACCGGCCTTCCATTGTTTCTAAAAAATGCTCCAATTTTTGCCGGTTGGCGAAGCGATTCCTGTCAAGTACGACACGCTCGCGCGGAATGTTATTTGCTGATCAGCCTCGGAGCTTGGAGGTCATGCCCGAGAAGGGAGAAACAGAAAAACCAAAGGATGGATTCATTTTACGGCAAGCTCTTCGGCTTGGTGGGTTCTACAGGTGCAGTTAAAAATGCGTTCACACAACACTCTGCATTATTCATTTTACCGGCACAGCATTATATTTGTATTCAACAGCGGCGAGTCCATCAATCAGCGTGCAGCTGATAAGTTATACTCGACAATTTTAGCTCAATCTGAAGATGCGGCCTGGACTGAAATTCTGCAGTTGGAAAGATCTTTCAGAGGTGAACACGCGTTAACAGTGTTGCACGTTTGGATGGTGCTTTATCGGTTGCGAAACGAAGATGAGAAGGGCAGACAACTTAGTCAGGTGTTGTATGACTCATTCCAGGATGATTTAGAACAACGTATTAGAGCGGAAGGTTTGAGAGTCGGCATCAATATTTGGCTCAAAAAAATGGAACAGACATTTTATGGGAATTCGGTGTGGAAAATATACATATACTTTCACACACCAAATCTAAAATTAAAACTAGCTTGCTTTATGTATTTTTCGAAATCTCAACTATCAAATCATGTATTTTTTTGGTCCTTTTAATTGTTAGCCTATGATTCGGCCATGCAGGGGAATCAAGGTCAACTTGCCGAAGCACTCTATCGAAATATCTTTCAAAGTCAAGGTGAACAGGACCGCTCTATACTTCTTGAGCGGTATGTGCGAAGAGAGCTCAATTGCCTTGGCCTGACCGACGCGATAGCTCTGTTTCAGGGAAGGATACGGTTTTCAGCATTATTTTAATTCTTCATTTCCGATATATCAAAAAACAGTTCGAACAAATATGTTTTATGGTATTTGGTCATTGCAAATTATAACTTCGAAGTTAGTTTCTAGCTAGAAAGCAACACTGTTCGTGAAGTGTGAAAGTGAGTGGTACCGAAGCAGGGATAGAAATTTAGGTACTTTTATGAAAGAGTATGTAGAAATCGTACATATTATATACGCGACGCGCCATCTACTCCACTCTCGATCCTCATGGTACATGCTCTGGAAGAAAGCAGCGCTTTACTGTACATGCCTTTGGAAAAAAACAACGCTAGATTCTATCCAAGCGTACGTAAAAGTGCACCCGAAGCTGATGGTCAATAACAAGCTGTGTAATGATTTGCGTCATTTTTCAGTGCATTCAAGTGGATCTGATTTGTAACCAGGTCATTTCAAAGATGAATAGTCATCAGATTGCACTCCGATATTATACCCCTATATTCATGGAATAAGAAAAGAGTCGATGCTGAGCAGGTGCGAATCATTTCAGGTGAGCATTTTGCGCCTCTTGCTTTCAGTAGTATTCATTTCTATTGCCTCCCTCTGCTGAGCAAAGGTTGTCACTTGATTCCCGTTCACCGCACTTGTACTTTTTTACTTGAAAGATAAGTCTGTTTCTTCACGAGATTGAGAGGTGCTCCATCGAACTCAAGCTCGCCGCTCTTTAGAATAAGCGCTGCACAACTAGCAGCGTCCGGTAATTCAAGAAAGATGCTCCCTTTAAAATCTTTCGAAGAGACATGGCGACGCAAGCGAATGGAGAGTATCTTGGTATGCTTTGAAAAGAACTTCGTCAGATCGTCGATAGAAACATCCATAGGAAATGGTGAAGCATACACGCTGCGTTGCTCTACTTCAGCGTCTACAACCTCACGTGGGCGCAGCTCACTTATTCGACGCACGCGTCTTTTGTCAGTGCTCACTGCGAGTACTTTAGATGTTTCAAGAAGTGCTGCCACGTCTACAGCGGACTCTACGTGGTGTGCGTTGCTAACGCGCGCGAGGAGCGTTCGCAAACGGCTGAAGGTCATCAATAGTGAGATGTCGACGTAACCTGCAGGATCGGCCTCAACGGTTTCACGCAAAAACTTATCGCGCGGGAGGTTGGAATCTGAAAAGTAGAACTCGACCTGCTCCTTCACCTTTTGTTTGGCTTCGTCGTCGGGAAGCCTTGCGTCGGTCCCGTTGTTGTCTAAGAAGTCGCGCGATGTATCCATAGAATTAAGAAGGCATTGCTTGTCATCTGTCATAATCAGAGGATGTTTCCGATTTCAAGTGATACCTGGGAATAATAGCGCTCGAAGAACAGACCTGGCCGTTCGCGGAGAGAAGGATAGTATAAGAGGGCCTAAAATTGCTCTACGTGTAGCTAGAGCTACCGAAGGTACACGTACATGTAGTACATACAACTTACTTACGAAAGTAGAAAGTACGAAAGTACTTTCGTACCTTCGTACGTACTTTCGTACTTTCGAAAGTACGAAAGTACGAAGGTAGCTAATACGAAGGTACTTTCGTACCTGCGAAGGTAAATCAAGGTATGATAGCTAATCAACTTATGAATAAACTAACAAGTTGTTACATACATTATGAATATTCTACCTTCAAGGTATAAGGTACTTTCGAAAGTACGAAAGTAATATTTATCTTGTACTTTGTACCTTCGTACGAAAGTACTTTCGTACTTTCGTATTGAATAAACTAGCTCTGCTAGCAAGCTAGCTATGATACATACGAAGGTAGTTCGAAGGTACATACGGAAGTACTTTCGTACTTCCATAGTAATAGACGATCAAATGTAGTACGAAAGTACGAAGGTACCTTCGTAGCTACGAAGGTACTTTCGTACTTTCGTACCTGAGAATGCTACCTGTACACGTACACGTACACGTGTAAAACTTTTACCTGATGGTAATAGTGTACACTGTACACATAAAAGACTCGTAAAAGCATAAACCCGTACGTCAATGACACACTACAGTATGTCCGTTGCGCATAGCAAATTCGCGATTCGGTCTTTGTTAAGGTCACGCTCCGCTAATTAAATTTCCCATGCCAAAAGTACGAAATTTAGACGAAATACGCATACATACAAAAAAAAACTTCAGCACGTTTCCTGTGTTTTCATTTAAAAGATGGGTGTTTGTTTTTCCTCACGGGGTCGTTCTGATAGTTTAAATTTACGTTTGGATCGTATTCTCGAGCTCAAGGTAAATTCGATATTCTTTAGTGAATGGGGGAGTCGTCATTTTCCTTCGGTGGATCCTGTAGAAATCGGCCAAGTTTTCTAAAACTTTATTTTTATGTTCAGGGCTTAAGTTGCAGTGGCCGACTTCCTCAGGCTTTTAGTCCCGAATGCGATGTTGCCGCGATTGTGTTCAGTGGATTTTTTGATGAGACGAAAAGGGCCATAAGCAAAGAATCCCTCAAGAACTTTTTTAGAGATTCACAAAAGGAAAAAGCTCCAAAATTCAACAGGGATGCCTATGACATTGAAGAAGCTCTAAGGGACTTTGTTCTCACTGGTGACAACCTAATCATCGGCAAGTGCGTTGTGGACGTGTCTTCAATGAATGAACCATTATCGCATTACTTCATCAATAGTTCTCACAATACATATTTATCCGGTGATCAGCTTTTTTCAAGGTCTTTGACTTTTGCAATAAAGCGAGCACTTTTACATGGTTGTCGTGTCATCGAGCTTGATTGCTATGACGGAGGAAGAGAAGGACCGGTTGTCATGCATGGCATCACCGCAACGCAATCAATAACGTTTCGCAATGCATTAAAAACTATAAAGCAGGATGCACACACAACCTCTGAGTATCCAGTCATCATTACAATGGAGAATCACTGCTCTAAATTAAAACGAGTTGAGTTGGCTAAGATTTTGCTTGAGGAGCTCGGAGACAAGCTGTTCATACCGCTTTCATTACATTTGAACCAATGGCCTTCACCTTCAGAACTAAAAGGCCGCATACTGATACGAGATAAAATCGGGACTAAGCAGGTACGTTTGATAGTATCATGAATTTCAAGGCCAAACACCTAACTTCAGCTTTAAAAAACACCTTTTGACATTGTTTCTTTTTCTTTCGAAGCCCACCGTGCAGCAGCCTCTAACAATTTTAAATTCTCCTGCAGGAGGATAAAGTTCGTGAAGCGTCAGGCTCGCCATACCTTGTCAGGACGCAACCCATTCCAATTTGCAGGCGTTTCGTCGACAATGCTGAGGATATCGCGAGGTTTGAAATTTCAGATGATGTCACTAACCGGGAAGAACCTTGCGAAGCATTTTCTTATTTTAATTTTAAGTTTATGAGGTCGACAAATTCTTATGAGCCACCAACACCTTCATCAGAAAAGGTAAAGCAGCAAGTATGCAATGAAATGTTCAAATCACTAATATCCATCGAAAATATTAAAATCAAGGTAATCAAAGAAGCTTTAGAAATTGAGCGCGTGATCTCGTGTTCATGGGACGAGTTGACGCTAAATAATCGTAAATGGGCGTTAGATAAAGCCACCATGCTTGACTTTACCGGGAGACACCTTCTAAGATGTTACCCGAATAGGCGTCGCGTAACTTCACAGAACTTTGATCCCTCTTTAGCATGGTCCATGGGGGCTCAGATGGTTGCATTAAACTTTCAGACAAATGACCTAGCCATGTGGTTGAATCGAGGAAAGTTTGTCGCAAATGGAGGTTGTGGTTTCGTTCGCAAGCCAGAATATCTTATTGATCCTAGCGTTCCAGCACCGTCAGAGCCTACCCGTGTACTCACTATTACAATTATTGCTGGCAGTGGCTGGGAAATTCTCGAGCACAGAACTCATGCAAGTGCTCCTCAAACTTATGTCCGCATTACTATTGCTGGGAACGTGAAAGACTTCAAGTCATGCACAAGCTCGGTTTCCACTAGCCACAGTCGCACGTCAGATGCACAACCATTTTTCAATGAAACTTTCGAATTTCATCTGATAGAACCAGATCTGGCTCTGGTATTGTTCACAGTTCATGATAAGTCAGTCAAAACACCAGAAATGTTTCTAGCACAGCACTGTAGCCCTGTTAACTTGCTTCGTTCAGGCACGAGAATTTCGCCTCTTTACTCTGCAGAAGGCACCTGCCTAAGTAGGGAATAATATAAGCGTTTACATGTATTTCAGATTATCTTTATTGATGTTGAAATTTGTCCCATGGAAGTACTGGATTTACGACGACAAAGTAATTGAATAGTTCATCGAACAAAGCAGCGTTTTTTAATAGTTTTCTAACATTTCTTTTGTTCTGATTGAACCCTTCATGATGGCGAACGAAACACGGTGTGCCTAGTCGTCAAAATCGAGAATAGACCTGTTCAGATGAGCGGCCACCGTTTTCCTCGGCAAAGTGTGTGTTGAAAGAAAAGATATTAGCTTCCCATAATATGCACAGGTAAGTAGTCGCAAGGTAGAGAACATGACTTTTTTTATCACGCAAAAGGTGCTGAACATTAAAACCAAAAAGAGTTTATGATGAATCATCGTGATCATCGTTTAATGGAGCTCAGCATATTCTCTCAATCCCACCTACACGTCACGTGAAGGAGTTCCTCAGGGCTCAGAAGTCCATCTCCATCTGTGTCAAAGATAAAGAAAATTACGTCTATCTGTGCTTCACTTAAATGCTCACCACAGTCCTTTGCAAACCTCATAAAATTTACTTTATCAAGCTGTGACCCAGCGCGAACGTGTGCCTTTATCATTTCCTGAAATTTTGTGCCTCCGTGCTTGAGCAGTCGACAAAAAGCCAAGAACTGTTCTCTGCTTACTCTCTCATCCAAGGAATAAATGCCCCTTGAAGCGAGTTTTGAAGCGCGTTCAATAAAGTATTGTAATTTCAGCACGTCTGCACCTGCCACCACACTGAAACCGAAGTCTTGTAAGCTAATAGATCCAGTATTAGTGTTGTCATAGTGCGTAAACTCAAGTTTATCTATCTCTGATCGAAGTTGGTGCAGAAATGTTTCAAATTGATGAAGGCTGAGCCTGTGTTCTTTACCTAGATCACCGAAAAGATACTGTAACAAGCCAACGCTCATGTCGTGAATATCTGTTGCCTTCATGCCGGTTCTATAACCAGTTGCCTTTGGTCGACTAGTCGAGAGCCTCATCACTTTCATCATATCAATGAATTCGTTGCGACAAAGGTGTCCACTCCCATCCACGTCAAATTGCTGAAAAGCCGTTTTGACATGACTTTCTGGGAGTGATAACAGTGTTATGAAAAAGAGATACTCTGGAAATGAGATCAAACCGTCACCATCTGTGTCAAACAATTTGAAAAAGTCGGATTGAGGGTAAACCTGAACGAAACAAGGAACACCGCTATCGTCGTCGTCTTCTCTCCGTTCTCCTCCAAGAAATCCACTCCTAACGTGACTCGAGCTCAACGGCTGAAATACGGGTACAGCAGCGCGCATGAGGTCCAAGGAAGTCATAAACGAACCGCAATTGTTTCTTACTGACGAAAAGTAATCGAAGACCTTCTCGGGTGGGCTATGGACACGAAGACGCTTCTCGTATATGAAGAAGACGTTCCTGCGATATTCGGGAGTAAGAAATGAAAAAGCACGTTTCCCCTCTTCAGCTACCGATGACGCGCGTGGCTGAGAGCACGCGATGGCATTCCATGCGGTGTCGTGCCCGTCTCTTCGTTTGGGTGTTTCAATACCCCGAGGAAGGCATCCTGAGAGACCAAGCAGTGACGCTGCGCAGACAAGGAGGTAAGGAAGTACTTCTACTGTGGCAGCAGAGAAAGTCACATTAGCAGGCTGAACATGAAGTGACGCGTGCTGGTGACAATTATGACTCTGTAAAGCTCGCCTCAGAAAGCGTAGAACGGACGTCATTTAAAGTGTGCCACGCATTATTAATGATAAAATATGATACCCTCGAAGGTGGAATAAATTTGGGAATAATGAACTTATCCGCGCTTCGCGCTTCGACTACGGCCTTCACGTTCGTGCCGTATCTCTCCGGAATGACCTCGCAGACTGAAATGCTGATACGGAATACGAAGCTACTGTACGGAAGACCGTACGTGTACTTCCGTACTTCCGTACCAGTTATTTACGAAGGTACTTTCGTACTTTCGTACGATCTTTAACGTTGTAACAAAATGGCCTTAGAACACATCACATACTACAAAATAATCTAGTTTCCCCTTCATGCGCATGTGCCCTATCAAATGGGTCAAGTCTATTTGGAAGACCTTCTCCCATCTCGGGATTTTCCAGGACCTACGTACGAAAATTTCAGCCTATCAAATGCGTTTGGAGTTTCGTATGCAAAAACGCGCCACGGGACCTGACGATGAACTCTTCGATGAAAACCATTTTTAAACCAGTACGTGTACGTGTGTACACGAACTTCCGTACTTTTCATACTATACACTTCCGCGCCGGCCCTCCTTCTTCTCCCAACTACCGACCCGCAGCGGAGTGATAGTCAAGAAACTTTTCCAAACCCTCGATCAAAAAACGGTCGGTCGCACCCACCCCAACTAAAACTGGGCAGAATTTAGAGACTCGTCTTCGGAAGCGCCGCCAGAAGTTTGGAGCGTCATGCGCCTCGAAAAATGCTGGTTTTGCTCGAGTACGGTGTACCCGGGCCATGGCATTTGTTTCGTGCGCAACGACTCGAAGACATTTCGCTTTTGCCGCTCAAAATGTCACAAAAACTTTAAGTTGAAACGGAACCCTCGCAAGGTCAAGTGGACAAAAGCGTTCCGCGTCCTGCACGGCAAAGACTTGTCGACAGACTCAGTTTTTCAGTTCGAGCGAAAGCGAAATCGCCTTGGAAGATATGATCGTGGTATCACTCTCAGTACTTTGCGCGCTATGAAAAGAGTAGACGAGGTTCGAGTGCGTCGCGCTCAACGACACTTTGACAGGCGTATGAAGGGAAGCAGTAATGGTCGTCTACGTGTCGAAAAACGCGAACTTGAACAGCAGATCCACATCGTTCGCGGATCTTTGACGAAGAGAATAGACCCGCTTGTTGCGATTGACGAAAGATGTGATGTCAAGGCTTTTGCATCTGCTGCCCCTGGCAAGCAAACGGACAAACAGTACAGCTAAGGTGCTTTCTTTGAAAAGAGGACTTTGCCTGCAGACTGGTACTCTCGTGGCAAAGAAGTTGGACAATATCATTTTTATACTTTATTACACAACAGCTTTTGCTTAATAATCTATCCCCGTGTAAATCTGTGTGAAGCCTGGTATCGACTTCTGAAAGGGGAAGTGAATAATAATGTGCTCAGTTGTAGACTTACAAAATCTTCCACGCAGAGACAAATCTTTCGGTGCCGTTGTAATCTCTGTGCACTTTGACTTTCTCGAAAATAGGCATCTTATCGCATCCAGACGTGTCTTGGAGACTCATATGTTCCAAAAGTTCTGCTACTTCGTGTGCCTGTCTACCACCATTTGTTTCAAGGGCTAGAAAACCTCCACCCAGCAGATGCACTGCTGCTCCGGTGCATACCGAGATAAGTGCATCTAACCCAGGTCCAGGCCCGCCTTCGAGGGCTATCCATGGCTCGTGGCATCTGACTTCGGGCTGGAGACTGAGAAAATCTTTTGAAGGAATGTACGGTGGGTTGCTCACGATTCCAGCAAAAGTCCCGCAGCCCACTGTTGCTGTCAGACCACGAACTTCTAGAGGTCTAAACCAAGAACCTTCGTAAACAGAAACTCCACCAGACCCTCCTCCAGTTATGTTTCGATATCGACTCACATTATGTCGGGCGATTGCTGCAGCGCGGGGACATAACTCCACGGCATGCACAATGACCTCCTCTTCTCTAGAGCTCTGGGCTGGGTTCAAAGAATGTTTTACCTTCGAAATTTCAGCTGCGATGCTGATAGCAAGTGCACCTGAGCCAGTCCCTAAATCAACCCATGGGGACTCCACCAAGGATGGTTTTTCATGTATCGCAGATTTTATGATGTCAACCAGGAGTTCTGTCTCAGGTCGTGGAATGAGAACTGCCGGTGTGACAACAAGAACAAGTTCACGCCAATATGATGTTGCAGTAAGGTACTGCAAGGGTACACGGTACCGAAGACGAGTGTTCCACAATGCTCGAAGTTCGTCGAGGCCTTCACGCAAAGGCACTGCATTGTCGCGCAGATAGTCGATAGAGGAACAATGAAAACGCGAATTGCGCAAATCTTCACGAAGGTCGCGCGCTGCTATGTCATGAAAGAACTTTTTTGGCCAGTCTTGGATTGCTACCACGTCTGCAACGATCCAGTCTATCTCAACAAGCAGACAACTAAGACTAGGCAACATCAAACTTGACTGTTTGCATGCGCTAGCCGTCTTTGCGTAGTTCCGTGCCCACGTACGCCACTCTAAGATCTCGAGAATTGTTGCGGAAAGTTTAATATTTCGCTCAACCAAAGGAACTGGAAGGCTAGATTTCCTGGAATCGTTCGCGTACGCACGTGCCGAATCTTTCTTAAAGCTCGCACACATAATCTGCCTGCTAGGAAAGCGCGATTGTGGTCCCTTCAGCGAAAGGAAAGCTGAGTACATATTTCCGACGAATTCGCAGGTCTCTAGCACTAAAATCCTAAACGCGGTAAGTCCGACGCGAGTCTTTGAGGGGGGGTCCCATTAGCTTGAGTTTTGCTGCCTATCCATCTTCACGTCGTGCACACTGTACAGTAGGGCCCTACACGTACTTTCGTACTTCCGGAAATAGATATCTACGTTGTACGAAGGTATCATAGGCCCTACAGTATTTCCATAATAAATAAACTCTTCCGTATGATATCATACATTACGTAGTACGTACGTTTAAAATAGTTGTACACGTACATAGAATACGTACTACTGTATCGAATCAGACCTTAAAGGTACCCTCGAAGGTAGTATTCTATTCCTCCACACAAACTCGAAAAAAACAGCAAAAAAAACGTACTCGCGACTAAAAACAACAACAACAGTGTACTGTACAACTACACGTACACGTACGCGCGAACACCCGCCAAGTACTTCCGCCATGACAATCAAAGAAGGTCGCAGCACTAGTATGATACTGTACTGTCGTAGACCTACTGTAGATACTATCTAGTACGAAAGTACTTCCGGAAGTACTTTCGTACTTTCGAAAGTATCTAATACAGTACAAATATCTTCGTATGATAATAGAATGTGTATCATAGATAGATAATTACTGGCTGGAGTACGTACTTCCGTACTGAAAGTACTGTACCTTCGAAGGTACTTTCGTACTTTCGTACTTTCGAAAGTACAAATAGCTAGTCAGATAACATAGATAGAGGGCGCGGGGCTAAGTTGTTACTGTAGCTATCGGATACCTTCGTACAACGTTTATGATAAATCGATTATGGGCTACAGTATCTACAAGTATCGTTGTATGTACGAAAGTAAGTTGTTTAAATAGACATTATGATGTAGTTGTAGCCCTCCTGTACGGAAGTACTTCCGGAAGTACTTTCGAAAGTACTTTCGGAAGTACTTCCGGAAGTATGCCTTACCTTCATATCATACTGTACCTTCGAAGGTATAGAATACTTCCGGAAGTACTTTCAGGTACTTTCGTACCTTCGAAGATAGAATACTTTCGAAAGTACTTTCAAAGTACGAAAGGACGAATATTTTTTATGTACTGTACTGGTACAGTACGTGTACTGGGAGGTGGTGTTGGTGATCGCGTAGGCGATCAGGGTGCGGTCGGTCGGCCAGCCCTACGAACGTGTACAATGTACGAAAGTACATCATTAATAGGGCCTTTATTATACCTGTTCTTGGACAACAATATCGCCCGTAAGAGGTTCTCCGCACTTCATCGTAACACACTTAAAATTCTTTAAAATTCTAGTGTGCTTTCTCGCATTCTTATTTTATCACGTTCATCCACCGGCCCTTCTTACGTTCCGTGACTGCTTATGGCGCAGACACTACTATCCCAAAGAGTTCCCTTCAGTTGGAATCCTGCAGGCACAAGGCAAAGCCGACTGAAGTCCGAACTAGCGTCAAACTCGACAAGGGCCAAATTTTCATTTCGGAAGGTACATTCATCGTTTATCCCAGAAGCTGGCATTTCCGGTGGCGATCTTCATCCCGCGTACAGTGTCCGTGCTGGTGGTCTTGTGGTTCCACGGCAAGAAGCGGGTGACCCGTTTGGTCTACTCCTTCGTCAACGCATCGTTTTCCTTGGAAACCAGGTGGATGACTTCACCGCGGATGCTGTAATAAGTCAACTGCTTCTTCTCGACGCGCAGGATCCAAAAAAGGTATGTGCTCTATTCGATTTTCTCTCATATTTCTTCTACACGGAGAGGTTCTTCCTGAGCCCAGGGATAGCGCTAGCACTGGGACACATCACATTTCTTCTTTACTTGTTTTTTTCTCCAGGACATCAAGCTGTTCATCAACTCCCCAGGTGGATCTGTTACCGCCGGCATGGGGATATACGACGCTATGCAAATGTGTCGCGCTGATGTTAGTACAGTTTGTATGGGCCTCGCAGCCTCAATGGGTGCTTTCCTTCTTACTGCAGGTTCACGTGGAAAACGACTTTCGATGCCTAACGCTCGCATAATGATCCACCAGCCTCTTGGAGGCGCATCTGGCCAGGCTGTTGATATAGAGATTCAGGCTCAGGAAATCATGTTCCACAAAGCAAATTTGAACCGGTTGATGGCGTTTCACACAGATCAAGACGTGAAGCAGATTGATGAAGACACAGACAGAGATAGATACATGTCACCACTTGAAGCAAAAAACTATGGAATCATTGATGAGATTATAGGCGGCGACGATGCCGGGCTCAAGATTGAGGGCGAACCCAAAGAGTATCTGAAGACAAAAGCGTCTTATATCTCCTGGGGTGATGAATTGGATGACACTTCATCGTGAGAAAGTCACACGAGGGAGGTCGCGAACATTTTCGAACTTCATCCTCGTCCTGAGATATCTACGCAGCTAATAATGCTAGTGAATCTGAAGAACAAAAACCTAACATTACAGTCGCCGAAGGCTTTTTTTTTTATCCAACTTCTTGTCATTCTTTGTAGAGTTGAGACTAGCCTGAAATGCGACGGAATTCGAGACAAACTCATCCTTACTTACTTGCGTGATTCTCATATCCTTCGCGTGAACCCCGGTGAACATCTTTGCTCGTCTGAAATACTCACCATAGTCTTCAAGCATTAGTTTAGCTGCTTCTTCGTTTAGCGCTGACTCAGGAAAAGGTTCAATAAGAAGACAGCGAATCACCATCAGTACATGTCTAAGACCATGACTGGGTAGCCAGTCTTTTTTCAGCGTATTTACACATATTTCACCACTTTCTTGCTTAACATTAGGGTGGAAGACCTTTGTCAGGAAGAAACCTGAAAAATAAAAAGAATAAAAAGAATTAGCACAGCTATTAAATAAAATTAAGACTCGCACAAACAAACATCAATGCATTTAGGAAAATCTATGCATTCCTTTTGGAGCCGAGCTCGGGTAGTCTGATGGCAGAATTAGTCTTAATTTGAATACGCCACCATGGAAAGGGGTGTCAGCTGTACGCCAGGTGTGAGTGGTCATTTTGAGAGAGGGAACGCTCAAGAACATAGAAAGAGAACACCAGGAAGCCACACAAACCTGGTCCGACTAACTCAGCCTCGACGCTCGATATATTATCTTCGTTGATGAAAACCTACATTCACACGCACGTTTTGTGTACATCGACATGTCTTCGAAAAAGAAACGCGCCTTAATCCCCTCGGCAGGCGCGTTCTCAAGCTCTCTGAGTTGTTTGACAATTACGTTCACAGAACACAAGGACGAATTCTCGCAAGCCTGTGAACGTGATAATCAAGGTAAAATCAACACATGTAAGACTTCGGAATTTTGGAACAAGTGACTCGCCATATTTTCCAGCTGTTCAAGGGAGGGCCTTCGTACTTGCCCGACCGTCGTTTCTTCAAGTGCGATCCGACCCGTCAGCATTGATGTACGTGTACAGCTGTACACGTACAACGGTACGTGTTCGTGTACACGTATTCTATCTGTACCGAAAGGATGTACTGTACGAAGGTACAGTACTTTATTTCGTACGAAGGTACGAAATAAAGTACCTTCGGTACGTTTGTACTTTCGTACACGTACACGTGTACACGTACAATAAATTATTTCGTACGAAAGTACTTCCAGAAATATTTCCGAAGTACGTGTACTGTACAACGTTGTACACGTACGTGTACATAAAACTACTTTCGTACGAAAGTACGAAAGTACAACTTGTACTTTCGAAAGATTATTAAAAGATACAGGATAAAGTACATAAAACACTCATAAAACTACATATTGCATACATATTGCAATAAAACTACATATCTACATACAATGCTACATGCAGTGTACCTTCGTACATATCAATACTTCCGTACAGTATGATACGATATCATATTATTAGTACAGAAGTACTTTCGTACTTAAGTACGAAAGTACGAAAGTATTACCAAGCAAGGTACGGAAGTATTCTATTCTCAAAGTACGAAAGTACGAAAGTACTTTCGAAAGTACAAAGCTACCTTTTCGTACTTTCGTACTTCCGTACTCCGTACGTGTACTTCCGTACACGTACACGTACTTCGATATCATAAAATTCAGGAAATAAATTCAGGAAATATGATACAGTATCATATCAATATTGCTACGACGTGTACAGCTGTACACATACGTACTGTACACGTACATACTGAGATACACATACGAAGATATGATAGAAAATACTTTCGTATTTATTACACATTGTCGTACGTACGAAGGTATGATATTCGCAATACACTTACTGTACGTGTGTGATATTCGCAATACACTTACGTGTAGTCTAAGTACGTGCCTGTACACTGCGTGAAGAGCTGCTGTACACGTAGACTACTTCCGTACTTCTGGGAGTAGGGGCTACGTGTACGTTTCGCCCTGATGTTCGAGCTAAGCGGAGTAGGGCACTGTTTCGTCAGATTCGTGTTTACGGAAGTATTTCTTGCACACACGGGGAAATCGAGACCATGACCAATGCTTTCGAAACAAAAAAGGCTCAGTTTGAAGAATGGCTGAAAACGCAGCCGCTTTCGGTAGGACTGATTGCTCACCTCGAAATGACCATACAATGTCACGGCCCTCACAACCTCGTCTCCATATCACCTGAGCATTCAAACAATCCATGCAGATTGAAGTTGGTGTGACATCCGCGTCGAGTGCTCTTCAAGGTTCGTTCTGTGTACAAATCTCCAAATCTTGTGTCAATCGAATCTGCGTTTATTTTCATCGTTGAATCGCTAGACTTCAGTTTTCAAGCTGCTCTTGACTCTTGACTCGTGACTCCATGCAAACTGCAGGTGGTGTCCTTGGTTACACCCTCGGTTTGGTAAATCAGAGTCTTGAGAAGCAGGCAGCGAGCATCCCGAATAGACCTTCCCCATTGGCAACAGGATCATTCTCAGGCCCTCCCAAGGTGCTGGCCTTGAATCTTGCCATTTTCACGGCAGTACAAGGTGGACTTACCCTTGCTGTAAAAAGGTTTCGCGGGGTAGATGACATTCAGACAAACATGATCGGGATGCTTGGAGCTGGTGCTGCACTTTCACTTACTACGAATTTATCTGGCGGAGGTGTAGGGTCTGCTCCTGGACATGTGAAGTCAACCAAGCCGCAAGATTATCTCACAGATGCACTGCGCACCGGAGTTCTTTTCGCTGTGCTTAATGGCGCTTTCATGAAGGCGGGTCAGTGGTTTACTGGCACAAACGCTTCACAAGACATTTATTATTACCATACGAATTGCATGCTCACTTCACTAGGGCTCGAAAAGTATGAAAAAAATTTCAGAAAAGGCATGTTGATGGATGACTGTCTGACTCTTTTATCTGACAGTGCACTCAAGGAGGTCAGAATCCCTCCGGGTCCTCGACTCAGGATCCTTCATTACATCTCTGCAAGAAAGAGGCAGGATGCAACACATGGGCATCAAGAATTTGACAAAGACGTCAGGGTTTTGCGTGTTTGAAGTTGTACTTTTAGTATGTTTCATGAACTTTGTCTTCTTCATCGTGAGCAGAGGCGACTACTTAAACGATGAATATGCCAGACATTCATGTTTTTAATGTTATTCAAATTTGTTAACAAGAAAGCTAAAGACGAGATCGTTGTCTCGATCGACACAGATACGAAAACAGGTGCACAACCTGTGCACCTGATGCTAATAGTTTTGAGAAGAGACTATGCATACAAATAAAAATAAAGATCTCCAACAACTCTGCACATAAATTGGTGCAACACAAGCCAATTGTTCTCTTTACCGTTCCAAATATAGTAGATTGGGATGCCATAATCCCTAAAAGTCCGAGTGAGCAAGAAATTCAAAAAACAGAAAGGCCAGTAGGAGCACTGTGCTGGCAAGGCTTGTAGTACTTCCGAGTAAAATCGCCATTTTTACTCAAAAATGACGCTAATTCTCACCGCGCCACCAGTTGTTTATTAAGCTGCACCTTTACAACTGCTGTCAGTGTGGACCTTCAAAGGTGATTTCGTAACGTAGCTTCCTGTTGCTCGAAATGGACAGGATTTTTTTCGTTTTTCCTCCCACTTCTTGAGTGAAGATCGCATGATTTCAAAGAAACAAAAGAAAATGGCAGAGTTGATGCCATTTGAGAAAGCGCGAGGGCCGACGCCTGTGAAGAAAGTTCGAACACGGCTGAAACCAGGGGGGGAATCTCGCCAGACTCCAGTGATTGCCCCAGTGAATGAAGGGCGCTGTGAGGCATTGCACATCATTCGAGTCTTCACGACATCAAGTGGAGTGGTCGCACCTGCAGCAACAGCACCAGCTATTAAACCCATAGAAATGTCAGCAGCGGCTGCTGAATCTTCTTGACTTTTTCCAGTGAGTTGGCGATGCATTGCACGCATGGTTTCATATGCGGCAAACTTCACCGCCATGTCTGGAACATCTTCAAGAAGTGTAGGGACATATCCAGTAAATAGTCCACGAGGACCTGCTGCTGTTGTGATTCGACGGGCCGCAGTGATGACATTCGGATACACATTTGCTTGTACAGACCTGATACAAACTGCGGCAGGAACCTTCACTATAGAAGAACCAAGGGCGCCTATCCCACCTGCTAGGAAAGCAATAGTCGAAACAGAGTAGCCCGAGTTTGCTTCAAGAACCTTTTTCGCAGCGCCGTAGAACGCAAAATATGCACCAATCGCGATTCCAGCACCACAAGCTGCACCAAGCACACCTTTGTACAAACTCCCTATTTCTGAACCAAACTTGCCAATTACAGCTCCAGTTGCAACAGCCATGGATCGAGGAGAACGTACTGCGGTCGAGGTCGCTTGACCGATTCCAATGCCATATTTACCACCACTAAGAGCTGTACCCTGTGCAGAGGCCTTGTTGGCTTTCTGTGGGACGTTGCCTTTCAGCGCAGCTTGCATCCGAACCTTGACAGTGTCCAGTGGATGGATGGTACTCTGCGAAGCTGCCCGAGCTGCAGCTCCAGCTATAACATCCGTCATAGGAAAGATGGCAGATATAGTACCTAGGAACCCTGAAGATGATGATGCAGAGAATAATTGCGCACCTCCACGTGCCTGCTGGAGATGACTCTTAGATAGACGCCTCCGCGGGCGGGAAATTCTGCCTTGATGCAAGGTAGTTGAGGTTGACAGCTGGTCGGATGAGGTCCACATTATGCGTTCGCTAAAAACAAGCTTCTGGAAAAAAACTGTATCCCAAGACCGCGTGAACCAGAATAACGATATGACTTGCTGTGGCCTCTTGATTTGTATAAGCTGCCCGTGTCCTCCACAAAATGAAGAGGGTTTTGGCAACTAGAAGAAAGGCTTCGGTTTCGAAAACGGCGTGAACAGGCTCAACGGGTAAATCGTTAGATACGACCTCAACAAAGCCAGTGAGATCAGCCGTTAATGACCTACGTTGTACAAAGGATCTAGCGTTGCCAACCAGGAGTATCTGCCTGTCATAGTTTTACGAGTTTATTAGAGCGGTCAGTCTTTCAAGTGCTACACAACGTTGTGTGTGGAGGAAATGCCGTCGCCAACTTTAAAAAATCTAGACTGTGCAGGTCGACTAATGGGATAGAGCCTGAAGGGCCTTACCAGTAGTTGACTTGAGGTTTAACTGGACACTACAGACTTCAATACTAGGGGCGATGAGCGGAAGAAAGTCGCACGTTTTCGATCTCTCCGTTTTTGATTGCAGTACGTGTACAGTACAGCTGTACAGTACTGTACACGTACTGAATGCTTTTTATGCAGCGTCACACAAGTAGTTGTACTTTCGTACAAGATAGAATATCGAGCATAGTTGGAAAAAATATCTATCCCTAAATCTATCGAAGTATTAGTTACTTTATTACAACGTTGGACGTGTACTGTACACGTACACGTACTCTTACTTATTTTTACTATCATACTGTATGCATGATAAGTTGTTATGATACGAAAGTACTTTCAAGTACTGTAGTTGTAGTTGTACATATTTATAAAAGTTATACGAAGGTACCTTCGTATGAAGGTATCCTCTGGTAGTTAGTGTTCGTGTAGTCTATCTATTGTACGAAAGTACTTTCGAAAATACGAAAGTACCTTCGAAGGTAGTCTAGCTAGACAGTAACCGTTGTACGGAAGTACTTTCGTACGAAAGTACTCCCGGAATAGAACTTAGTTTTTCGAAAGTACGAAAGTATTTATTTATTTACTCGCCGAAGGCGAAGACTTTTGCGGGTCGAGCGAAATAAGACCGTCGATTTTTGAGTTAAATTTGTAGTACTTTGAAATACTTATTTATTTAACCTTTTTTTTCCTTATTTAACCTTTTTTTTCGAAGGTACACGTACAGTAAGTTGTTTATTACTGTGTCTATTTATATTATCTTCGTATCTATCTACAGTATGGAAATAGCGTAACGAACGTAAAACATTTATTAACGTATTACGAAAGTATTCTACAGTATGAAACATAGATACTTTCGTACTTTCGTATGTACGTGTACAGTACATTGTTGTACCGAAGGTAGTACACAGGCCCTAGCCCTACTTGGAAACAGAGACGAACGAGCCTCCGAAACTACCTGCAACTTTCTAATCGAGCAAGTTTCACGGAGCTGAATCAACTTGCCAGACGCTTCGCAAGCAATTATTGAATTCCGATGCCATCAAAAAGGAAAAAGTATTGTAACTGCCGCAACTCCCGCTGCTTAAAATTGTGCGTGTGAGAACATAGAGACAACAAATTAAACTGACGATTTGTCTCGATAGGTACTGTGAATGTTTTGCTTCGGGACTGCATTGTGATAGCTGTAACTGCGTTAACTGCTCTAACAATCTTGCAAGTGCTGCGATACGATGTACAGCTGTTGAGTCTACCCTCGAGCGCAATCCTAATGCGTTTCGCCCTAAAATCGCTCCTGGGGTTGGACCATTAGAGAAACGAAGAGAGGGTGCAAGCAGACATAACAGGGTATTTTTATCTAAACAAATTATTTTATTTGTCAACAGTGTATGATTCGCTGCAGGGCTGTCACTGCAAGAAAAGTAGTTGCCTTAAAAAATATTGCGAGTGCTTCCAGGCAAATATATTTTGTTCAGACATTTGCAGGTTGTTTTAATGATGTACATTCCAATCCTATTTTTTCTGCTTACTTTCGGCTTCAGATGCATGGAGTGTAAGAATTTTTTAGGTTCTTCACAGCGCGTAGTTGCCGCCAAAACTTTGAAAGTGGTACGGCTAGGATTCCTCCTCTCGTAGAGCGACCTACCCACTGTTTTTGTCGCATAGCTCTCAAGGACAACGGCTAAGGGGAGACTTTCAGCACATGCACGGCGAAGAAAAGCAGTTTCGGAAGTGTCGATCGAAAAGGCTGGCTCAGAGCTACTTGAGGTGCGGTGTAAATCTTCGGATCTTCTAAGCTGCGTGCAGTATCCCTTTTTTTTCGGTCTTCAATATCTGACAGTTGCATCCCGCAAAAAAACAGGTTCAGGAGGGGTTTCTCCCAGGAGACATAGTTTGTGACCGTGCCGTCGACAAGATGCTTGAATCGCTGAGTTTTTTGGTACATTTTTCTCAGGTTTTCATTCATTTCTTTGAACACGACTACTAGCAGGGCTGCAAGAAACTTGAAGCTCTTGGTAGGGAAACCGAAATCGTGCAGGTTCACATACTCAATTTTCAATATTTTTCCTTGACTATACTTTCAAGTTCACGTTCGTTTTCGGTCGTTAGGAAAGTGATTCATTTGCGAATATTGAGCTTATGGTCAGGTAATCACCAGCGAGTGTAGTACGAAATCATTTCCTCATCGTAGGTGTTCACACAAAACTACTACAGGCACATGTTTATGCCGGAAATCAAATCACGATTTCCTACAGCTTCAACGACGTCACTGCGCGAAATGCAGGCTTTCACACTCTCGCACCTGAAGCCAACGACCAAGGCAGATATCACACGACTTCTGAAGAAAATTTGCCCTGCAAGACATATGTACCACATAAAAGTTGACGACGCACAAAGAAAACATGCGGAGAAACTATCACTAGCAAATGCCACCAAAGGTTTTGCTAGAGTGCTGGTAGGTACTGCCGTGTTTTGAAAAGTTCTGTTTTTACGAGTTATTTTGGTTTTGCTCGTATGTATTTTTGAAAGCAATATATTCTCACAGATAAACTATAAGAAGCAAAGAAAACACTAGAGCGCCCAGTATAGTTTTGCACAGCCAAATGTTTCAAGGTATTGACTGGAAAATGATAAGGCGTCCTTAAATTATATTCCGCTACGATCCTTCTCATGGGGATCATCGAATCCTCTTAGGTCCACAGAGTTGCGCTGTACAGTACACCTCTTGTTTGCAGGTTGAACCGGGCACCCAGTTATTCGAACATTGAACTCATCAACGGAGATTAAATCCAAGTTTTTTCATTGGCTGCACCAGAGAATTATGCACCAGTTTTGTAGCCCGTAAAAGCATCTTCTGTCGCAGTGTTTTCGAAGAAGCTTTGTGCCGTTTGCCCTTCTGCTTGCGCGCATATTTGCCTGTAGCAGTAGCGCGGAATCTTGCCTTCCAAGATGAGTATGGCTTTATTTTAGTCTTCATACCTCGAAACGAGCACATTTGTAAATGTATATTGGACACGGAATGTATTTCTCTAGCAAAGAACGAATTCGCTGTGTTACGTAGATTTGTGTCAACTACTGACTTCAAGCGTGGACTGCTCAAAACAAGGCGTGGCACGTTAGACCTGGAACGTAGAATGTTCAGCAACTCTAGTGGTCGTGACTCAAACTTGTCATCAACATTGCACATGCTTTTCGTCTTCATTCGCTCTTTCAACGGAGCTATAAAGCGCTCGATCTTCCGAGGGCATGCAACTCCCGGGTTAGTAATCGGCGCGGTTAAGGATAAGAAAGGAAGCAGAAAAACCCGTGAACTGGTGAACAACAGCGAGGACATAGCGCGCTCTGGCGTGCAAGAATTTTTCTCCTAGGCGCGTGCTTATTCCAGCTTGTTTTATACAGCTTGACAACGACAATGGATTTCGACCACGTCGTTCTGTTCACGAGCTAAACGAATGTTATGACTCGGCGTGCTGGTGTTCGAGCGCCATACCTGACGTTGTGTGTGTGTGTGTGTTATTTCAAGTCTCCGTGAAGTGCAGCCCTAGAAATCTGCTCGCTTAGGCAAAAACAACTACACGTACTGTACGAAGGTACATACAGTACGTAGTTACGTACTGTACACGATCAGAATGTACTGTAAATATTCTTAAGGTAGTCCTCTACACGTAGGGCTACAACGTTGTACTGTACGTAATTCGAAAAAAACTACAAAAAACGTACTCGTGACAAAATAACGTACAAAAGTGTACGCGCGAACACCCGCATACAATAATAGCTACGAAAGTACTTTCGAAAGTACGAAAGTACTTTCGAAAGTACCTTCTACAAACAACTGCATTTTATAGTGCGCATCCGCGGATGGACCGTTCTCGATTAGTGCTTCGGCGAAAGCAACTGGATCTCGGCTACAATACGATAGGATATGCGCGATACGTACAACTCGTGCCGCGAGGACGCCGGTCGACGAACTTACGCCGACATCCAAGAACCCCGGATCCCCTCCGAGACTGCAGCAAGCGTAGCTTCGATGGCCAAATCAGAAGATGGCGACGACTTTTACATCAATATGACAACATCTGTAGTGATGAGAAGGGAGTTGAGGAGATCACGGCCTTGCAGGCCGAATCACGACCTTTGTACGCCGGCAGTCTTTCTACGGGTACGTCTACGTCAGAATTCCCACAACCAAACACCTTTTGTTTTTCCAGTTTTCTTCCTTTACAGCGGTACTTTCTCGAACTCTTCACAAATTCGGGTCTTACATGTGCTCTAGCTTTTCATTTGATTATGTGATCTAGTGTATTTCATGCACCCAAATCATGATTTGCTTGCCCAGTCCCGGACATCGGTATCCAATGAACATTTATTTATTTTTTCTGCTGTTCCTATCTCCAGAGTTGTCAACATTTCCTCATCAGTTGCTTGTAACTGAAAAGACTGCCCGGAGATCATATTATGCCACTAGCTGCATGTATAACGTATCAGAGGCAAACAGCAACAAGCTAACATACTGTTTAATTTTAGGCAACAGTCTGGCCGTCGCACGTAAAACTCAAAAGTTCACAAATCAAAGTTGTGTTACGTTGGTGTAGTTTGTTTTTGAAGAGAGACAGATTTAACTTCATCGAGGCTGTTTTCAACTCGTAGAGATGAGACATTTTTCTTTAAAAGTATTTGTTGTATGCTAAAGCTTCTAGCTTCATGAATATGCGAGTCATAACTCATGCTTTCGAGTTGCTATCAGCATGTATTTCTAGGTATTTCGACAATAATGTTGTACAGTATTGTAATCTAGCCAGAGATATTGACCATAGCATTATTATCATAAAAGTACAGTACGATAATATCATACTTCAGTACTTACTACTTTCGTACTACTGTAGTTGTAGTCTATCTGTACAGTAGTTGTAGTACTGTATGTAGTCTATCTATACACTTGACAGTTTTCCTTCGCACCTTCCTGTCTCACGCCGCCTGCTGTACGCCGCCGTGTGAGCTGGGATCGCAAGGAACTACGCGCTCTACGCTCTTGCTTCATCACACTCCCAGCACTCCCTCTGCATCACCTCTTGATGCACTCTGGAGTGTCCCAGCACCCTTTCAGAGTCTCTCTGATATTCTCGACTCCTTTCGACACTTCCCAGGAGTCTTATCCTCACGCGACGTCTCGGCGCTCAGTGGCTCCGCAGTCGACCGCATAAAGATCTTCAGGCTCGACAGGACGAGGCGGTCTATACATATACTATTGTACACGTATATGTATTTCGAAAAAGGTCAGCAAAAGAATGTAGGGCTACACTACGTGTACACTACGGAAGTACGTTGTACATTGTACTCATAAAATAAATAAAAAACGCATACAAAAGTATATGCGCGATGCACATCTGCGCGCGGAGGTACACGTGTAATAAGTTGTTAGCTACGTAGCTAGAGAATACTTAGATATTTACTGTAGTGTAGCCCTGCATGGAATACTGTTAGGACACTGTTGTTATCATAGGCCCTAGGAATAAAGTAAAGGATACAGTATGTAGCCTATGTACGGAAGTACTATTGCGCCGGCAGTTGAACTACGCGGGTCGAGGCTGTTGTTGCGAAGAAAATTGCTCTTTTACAAATCGACGCGATCGCGCCAGTCCATGCTTTGCGCATACGATTCAGACAAGGACGCGGTCATTCCGCACACCTCGCGGGTGATGTCATCTAACATGCTGTGCAGTTACAGAGCTCAAAACGGCTTCTGCGTGATGTTACAGCACAACGCGCACACTTCCTTTTATAAATATCCTTTGTAACAGTTCTAACCGTACAACGTTGTATCCTTTCGCGGTGTTTGCCACTAGACTACTAGCTACACGTGTAATACTAGCCCTAGCTAGCCCTATCTAGCTATCTAGATAGTCTATCTACCTTCGGAGGTACTTCCGTATTAGATATGTACATATACAGTATGTATGTAGTTATGTACCTTCGTACGAAGTACCTTCGAAGAGACTCTTTGAAGATATTGTAGAACAACTTATTATTGCACTTATTGCTATCCCATATTCTATTTCGGATATACTGTACCTTACTTGGGTACCTTCATTCGTAGCTATTATGGGATAACTTCGTTCGTAAACGTATGTGCGTGTACATAAATAAAACATATTATGCATATTATATGAAATATTCTATTATTTCCGTTTAATAATAATATAATACCTTCGTATGTATATATGTAGTAACAACATAGTGTAAATAAATATATAAATCATATTATTATGTCGTCAAGAACGAAGATAGTACGGAAGTACGTAAGTATGATACGAAAATAGAATACTTCGTTCGTTCCGTGCTCTATCTGTACACGTACAGTACACGTACACGTACTGTACATGCAGTGACGCTGAACACGACACGTACGCGGGCCTCTGATCGTTAAAAAATGCCCAAAAAATAAAAGAGAGAATGAAGGAACGTTGTCCGGTCTTTCGGTGGCTCGTCTTCGCGGAAACATTTCTTCCTTGCAGCGAGAAGTAATTAGCACCGATGGGCGGGGCCTCAGCTCACGGACAGCATAATAAGGGTCACAAGTCCGGACGCTACGCGACGAAAAGCACGCGCAACAAATACAAAGTTGCAGGTTCGAAGTGTAAGAAAGGAAGTGGACTTCACAATCCTCAAAAGGTAAAAGTCTTCTCGGTTTCTCCGTTTAGCATGCTTCCTGCGAACAAGTCCTCGCAATATATTGCATCCGCCAACAATCGTTCAGGCCGCAACGTTCTTTCGGATTTATCATGTATGGATATCAGAACCTCAGAGACAAGCACCTTCTGAGTGTGTGTGAAAGAGAACTTTTCGGTGACGCACTCTTCTTTTTTCGTAGGTCGGCACTGAAGCAGCTCGCAAAGCGGTTCGTGCCCACCGCGCAAAACAAGCACGCGACGCCCGACGTGCTGTTATCATAGAAGAGAGGCGCAATGTCTGCAGTGCCCCTAAGGTCGTAGCTATCTTAGCACTAAATTCTAGAGTTAACCTGTCGGAATTTATTGAGGCTTTCATGACTGCTGCTGGGGTCTTGGACCCAGCGATTTTGGTCAGGGACATGCTGGCAAGCCCCAATATCCCCGTGACTTTCGATGTCAAGCGACAGTCCCATCGCTTGAGTCTTCTTATAGTGATTCCTGAGCAACCCCTTGCTGCCCTTGAGATCATGAAAGTTGCAGACCTGCTTCTGGTTGTAACTCAAGTTCAACCAAAAGCCAATACAGAGGAATTTGCTGACTTTTGTTATAAAGGCGAAATGTATTCGGATTCAGAAATCAAAGCTGTAGAAGTGGATGCGTCGCAAGCTGTCAGATCTGCAATGTTAGCACCTACAGCACTTGGTCTACCCCCGGTGCTATGTGCACTGCGGGGGCTTGAGAGGTGTTCACTCAAAATGCGTGCTAGTCTCCGAAACACCTGTGCTACAGCAGTGCGCGAATGCCTCCAACTACCTCACGATCGTCTACGAGTATTTCCAGCAGATTTGGATGGCGAGCTGCTTGAATTAATCCGGCATTTAGCTGAGCAAATGCCAGTGCAGCCTAGGTGGCGTGCCCAGAGGGCCTATGTTTTAGTAGAAAGAGCTAGCCTAATTCCTGAGCCCCAAAGCTTTGAATCATCAGCTTCTTTGTATCCGACGACAGTAACAATAGCTGCTGAGGGCCATGTGCGGGGTACTTCGATGTCATGCAATCAACTAGTCCACTTGCCCGGAGTGGGAGATTTCACGTTGGGTGGCATTGTCTCAGCTTCTAATCAGTTTACAAGAAGAGCCACGTGCACAGAAAATAGGAGGGACAGGTCAAACGTTATTTTTGATCCAATGAAGAAGACAACTGGTTTTGGATTACCGGGGACAACGATATTTCAGCAGCAACAATTTCCCGTCAGAGAGAACACGCCAGGCTTGTTTGGTGGCGATCAGACCTGGCCCTCTGATGAAGAGCTGGATGCGATGCAAGGGAACAATGCAACTCAGAATCTGGATAGTTGCGAAGTGCGACGTGCATCTTGGGATGTCATGATATCAGAATCATGCAATTCAGATAAAGGTAGAGATCATGACTGCAGACAAATGAAGAGCAAGTCCAAAATGATTTGCAAATCTGAGGAAGAACGCGACCGTTCGATTCTTTTAGAACAGACTGCACACTTTGGCGGTGATGAATTCACCAGTTCACAACACGTTGCAGCAGACGAGTTTCAACCCCAAGTTCAGCTCAGTTTTCAGACACGTGAGAGTGCTGTTACAATTCAGCATTCGAAGACACGTCAATCGAGTAGAGCAGGAGCCAGCGATGAACATTTCTTTCCCGATGAAATCGAGACCCCCATAGACATTCCAGCTCGCCTTCGCTTTGCTCGGTACCGCGGACTCAAGTCTTTCAGGTCATCACTTTGGGACACCAACGAGCAGCTTCCTGTAGACTACGAGCGAATCTTCACTTTCAAGAACTTTAAGAGAGCCACGCTGCTTGCTTCGACGGAAGCTAGGTCACAAGCTAGCAGTGGGCTCGGTATTGGCACTTTCGTGAAACTGATTATACGGGGCATACCTTCAGTAGCGGCTCGAGGACTCCTTGCAGGTGAAGAAGCATGTGTTTCTTCACCCGAAACTGTGAAGATAAACTGCAGTGGGGTCGTTGGTCGTGGTGGGGTAGGCCCCTCGTGGAGTGGCTGGTGTGGCGGTGCTGGGCCTTTCGTTATCAGCACTCTTATGCAACACGAATCGAAGCTTACAGTGATGCACTATGGTATCACAAAGACACCATCGTGTGACTTTCCGTTGCGAAGCAAGACCCCACTGTGGTTTCACATTGGATTCCGCCGTGAACGCGCTTCTCCGATATTCTCATCAGATGGCATTGGTGATAAGCACAAATTCGAGCGGTTCCTTCAGCATGGACGTCCTTCTATTGCTTCTGTATTTGGACCAGTAGTTTATCCACCAGCTCCAGTTTTAGCATTCAGTGAGAAGTCTTTCGCATCAGGAATGCCTGCACAGCTGGTATTATCTGGAAGTGTGCGTGAGGCTGCCCCGAATCGTGTGATTCTAAAGCGCATAGTTATAACTGGTGTGCCGCACAAGACACACAAGTCCAAGGCTGTTGTGCGCCAAATGTTCTTCAACCCAGAGGATGTTCTATGGTTTAAACCTCTTGAGCTGTGGACGAAATATGGCATGCGAGGGAAAATTAAGGACGCAGTTGGCACACACGGAAGCATGAAATGCCAATTTAATGGTGTCATTCAACAGAGAGACACGGTTTGTGCTTCTTTGTACAAACGTGTGTTTCCAAAGTTTCTGTGACGATATGACTTTTTCACATGTACTGTATGTCATGGACTTACGGAAGTAATAGACCACAGCTAACGGACTATAGTTCTACACTGCAGCGTTAGTTGCAGAAGTACACGTACGAAGGTACACCAGAAGTATGAAGTAGATAGACTACACGTGTACGAACGAAGATACTAGGGGCGTAGGGGGTGCTGGATTACAACGTGTGCAGATTGCTCCAGAAGAAGCCGTGCTGCTGCTACCGTTCCAGTGCATCCGTCAAAAAGTCATATTTTTTCCACCAGAGAACGACCATATCGAAATACTCCCGTGCCCTAACAAAGGACGGCTATATATATTAAATAAATATCATGCATATCTATCATGATATCATATGATATGATATATATCTATCTTCGAAGGTGTACATATATATAAGATATATATAGGCATATCTATCTATCATAATTATTATTATTAGTAGTAATAAATAAATTATTGCACCTCGGGACGTGATGAAGTCGTCCTGTACGGAAACTTTCGTATTCTTCAGACTAAATACGCACCCGGGCCCCATCTCCCAACTACCGACGGCCGAAGAGGCGCTGATCATAGGTACGTAGCTACGTACTGTATGTACTGTATGCCTATCGTCAAAGATGACGACGACGTCTACAGCGTACGTTACGGTCATTTTTTACGCGAAGGTTTTTCTATGCCGCACAACCGGAAGCTGCCGCTTCGAAAATAACTTCACTGGACGAGCTGCGAGAGAAACAAGTAGATATGTTTTGAATACAAGATTCTAAGGAGGAATGACGGCTCTGGGCCGCGAATGCGTACCCAGAAAAGTAGACGTTGATGATGTTCGTGATAGGGCGATGTCCACCTTGAAAGAGGAGGACGTCTTGGCGCTAACCACGGCTGTAGCCCCCGTACTCGCGATTGACTCGTCCGTAAGGGAGTGGTGTAGTAGGGCTTAGAAATATTTTTTTCCTCCTCGACTGTGCAGCCGTTTATATGCTTTGAATAAGGACGCGAGTCCGATCGTGTCAAATCATTTTTTCCTTGCTCTGTACGATCAATATTGGCGTGTTCCGGGAAGTTCCCTGTCGCTCGCCGTCGACACCGTTCGTCGTTTCCTTCGCGCGGACAGGGGAAACATCTCGAAGGCGAAGAAGCGTTTGGAAGAAACTTTAAAGTGGCGCATTGATGTCCAGCCCCAGACGAAAATGTGTTCAACCTGTTTAAATGAAGATCTTCGTTCGCATTATATGCAACATGTTGGCTGGGACAAGCGAGGCCGCGCTTTGGTATATTCCGACATCGGCATGGCACGCGACAAGGGTCACAAGTCCAATGTTGAGCACTGTATTCAGGTTCTTGAGCTTATGGAGCCTATTCTTCCTCCCTTTCCAAACGATCAGTATATATGGGTGGTGGATTTTCATAAGTTCTCAATATCGGACATGAATCCAAAGATGGCTATTGCTTGCTTGAAACTTTTCGGTCGCAGCTACCCTGAAAGACTTGGGCAAATGATCCTCGTGGGTGCACCTCGCGTATTTAACGGGTTTTTTCGTGCAGTTTCACCTTTCGCAGACCCAGTCACAGTGAAAAAGGTGCGCTTCATCAAAGGGCCAGATGGCAAAGGCGGGGGAAAAAAATTTGACTTGGTTGTGAACGAGTTTTTTGACGCTGAAACCAAGGCATGGCTTGTGGCAGAAATGATGGAGAACAGATTGCGATGGAAAGACCTCGCCCGGCGTAAGAGCTGGCTTGCGGCGTTAATAACTGCAGATGGCACGCGCCATGGGTGGTGGGAGCAAAACACGAAGAGAAAGTCCAAGTTCAATAGTGAAGCGGAAGAAGGCTTCGATGAAGATAAACTAGCACCAGCCGTCTTAAGCGAGCACGGACACGATATACGGGGGTGCCCCTCATTCATTCAGACAGAGGCGTGTGTTCGAATGACAAACTTTGCAATCCAACATAGTTCACGTGGAAAGTTGACCAATTTGTTGGTATGTAAGTCTGCAAAGAAGAGCACAGCCGTGCCCGTGAACACCGAGACAGACCGATCTGGGGGAACAGCGTTGCAGGGCTAGGTAGTAGGGAGCTACCTTCTAAGGTACTTCCGTAGGTAGGTACAACGACAACGATGGAGGGCTACAGTACATGTACATGTTGTACTAGAAAAAAGTCACTTTTTTTCCAGATAAATCTGGAAGTACAACGTACAGAGACTACAATAATGTACACCACGTTACTCAAGCTACATACGGTATCCCTACAATGTTGTGCACGTGTCGAGTATTCTTATTTTGCAAGGAGATACAGTACGTGTGCCCTACGAGTCTTAAACTTCGTTCCGTACTTCCAGAAATATGCCCTACACGTACAGTACGTGTACAGCTGTACACGTACGTGTAGCCATAATATTTGCCATGCACACATAATACCTTCGAAGATATTTTAGTCTACACGTGTAGAACTGTAGATAATACGTACACGTTAATAATATATGCCGTACTGTATACATACATTTATGCACGCACGCAGATATAGAATACGGAAGTACATACTTTCGAAAGTACGAAAGTACGAAAGTAAGTTGTTACTTTATTTATTTCATTCGTATCATACGAAATAATAAATAAAGTACGAAAGTACTTTCAGTACTGTACCTTCGAAGGTAGAATATATAGGGAATTTCCGAAAGTACCTTCGAAGGTAGGGAATTTCCATCTTGAGAAGCTTGAGAATTACCTCAACAGTTTCGATGCAGCGCTCGTCTAAAAGCTGACTTAAAACTGTGGAGAAAAAGGCTTGTTTGAGTGCAACAACAACGAAGAGTTGGAGTGTCAAAACACCTTTCTCTACATCTGGAAGAGATCTGAACTCCTGCAATTAAAAACTATAAAGAGTACGTCAGAAACGAAAGCTCATTTCTGATCCATGATCGTTGACCATGTTTGCGGGGGTAACACTCACAAAAAGCACATCGATGGAAAGCTCTCGAGGCGTAGGATGCGATCTACTCTTCGCGCGACTGCCCCGGCCCGCAAACTGCGCGAAAAGCGGCGCGCAAGCGCGCGCTAGGGTCAGCTCCTTTGAAAGTTTGAAAGCAACTCACGAGTCAACGAATTTTTCTTTTTTCAATTTTCTCCTTTCAAGTACATCATGGGGTCGATTCATTTTTAGATTGTTTGCTCATAGAAATCGTCGTTCTCGTTCCTGACTACTATATAATCGATACAGCACCACGGAAACGAATAGAATGAGTTCCTTCATCTCGCGCTGTCTGAGATTGCAATTCACGTGTTGTATCTTCGTACTACTTGAGTAGGTACGGAAGTACGGAAGTACTTTCGTACCTTGGTACGGAAGTATCATACTTCCGGAAGTATCTATTTCCGAGAAGGCGTCACAGGGGGGGGGTAACACTACCCGTGTACTATCCCACTATATAGGCCACTAGGTGCGCTGCGGGGGGGAGGGGGTCGCCCCCCCCCCCCGC